TCTAATAAGATTTCGTTGCCTTGAACTTCCTGAACTGTTTAACACCTTCAGAAAATTATAAAAAAAAAAAAATTCTATATTTTTCTCGTACTCTCCAAGTGAGCCCCTATTACCCCTTATAAGGAATGACGCCAATTTTGAATCACCCTTTATTGTTTTTCGTGATAAATAATTGCGTTTTAGTAAAAAAAAAGTAATTTTATCAATAGGTGTGAAGGCGGTCACCATGGTTAAGTAGTGTAAAAGAAAATCGGTATGCATTTTAACAAATACAATGAAGAAAAGATCGCCGGGGAACTCAAAGATATTCGACAACGCAGAAAATGTTAAAGACGGGATGGTAAAAATTATAAAATGTCAACATCCACCTTAGACGATAAGAAAAAAGGAATGAAAAGAAGAGGAAACATTACCAGTTCCTAATTTTAGAAGAAAAGAGAAACTTAATAAGAATAAGAATACACCTCTTACTAGGTGCTAAGCATTTTTAACGCTTAGTAAGCGTCGTCCGCCTTTACCTCACTTACAGGGGTGAAGGCAGACACCCTTTAACTAAAAAAATTAGGGGGAATGAAAAGATTATTTGTTTTGTTATGAATTTTGACAAAGCAAACAAAAAAGACTCTTAATTATTTTATTGGAAATTTTCTATTCAAAATTAGACTTCACCCCGAACGACGGTACTACATTATTTGTTATATGTTCTGTCTAAGATACCTTGGGAATTCTTCTAAAAATTTACATTTTCAATTCCTGAATTGGTTTCTCCTTGGAGTCAAAACTTGTCCTGCTCTCTGCACCATATAAAAGCATTGAAAATACGTAACTATGGACTAGATTTCACCTTGTGTTTATGACATCAAGTGCTAGTGAGTTAACTAGTTGGAGCCACCAAGACTGTGTCGTCGGCGTAAGGAAACTTGTTTATATTTCCCCATTTAATTTTATTCCACTATAAACCTCGTTTTGAAAATAACGCTTGCCTGAATATGGGCTCAGCGGAAAAGTTGAACAGGAGAGGCGACAACACACAAACCCATTGTGCCCACCGACGAATTTCCACCGTTTCCGAGTATTTTTGGTCTGTCCGTATATTTGCCTTCTGTCACCAATAAAGGTTGCTGATGATCTACATATCTTGAGTATCAATCTCCACTTCTTTTAGTGCTTGCATCATTTTGCTTGTGTGCATTGTTCGAAAAATACTTGTATTGCGTGGGTCAGAGATGTTTGGGGTAAGAGAAGAATGAGAAGAAGTAGGAATTACTTCTTGTATATACGAGCTTGAATTATCTTACGGAATACTCTCAACATATGGCCCATAGAACTTAATGCTCTAAATTCATCATACGGTTGGATATTGGACTTCTTGGATAGTGTGACAAAGGACAAGAAGTATTATTCTGGGACAATTTCAGTATTGTAGATCCAGTGAAAAAGTTCGTAACCGTTTTGATACAATTTTGTTCCATGATCTAAAGAATTTCGGGTTTTGATACAATTTTCCATGATCTTAAGAATTTCGGCTGGTATGTTCTCTTCACTCGTTGCTTTGACTGTGCACATGTGCATTAGATGTTCTATATACGAGTAATTCTTGACTGTTGACGGTGCAAAATAACGTAATAAAGAAGCATTTGCGGCATTTATATTAATCTATATCTATCTAAATCACGTGATACTGATGACCTATGAATAACACGTGAATAGCGGAGTTTAGTAGAATATCTGATTGCATAGCTAACTTCATTTTGGCAGTCCAGCCAGCAAATCTTCGGAGGGCGGCTGAGGCTGACGCCGACGACGCCGCCGACGCCGCTAGTGCACCGAACTTTGACCTAGAGACGATACTCCGGTCAGTTCCAATAACACACTCCACTGACTTATTTAGAAAAATATGATATACGCTTAAAAAAGAGAAGAAGTACTTGTTGATTTTGATGAGAGCACTATACGAAGCGTTAGCTTATACTAAATGATACGGCAGAGATAAATTGCAATTAAGTCAAACTAAATAATGAAAGCTTAGATTTAACAATGGGCCATTTGTCTACTACTTGATTGAAAGTCATTTGAAAATGATGTAGCAAACGTTTTTGAACAAGCTCTAGAACAATCTAATCAAAAAGTTGCGAATGCATTTTAATGCGGTTTTGGATAACTTAAGCTTATTGAGTTATTACTCCTTTACACACTTAGGCCCGGTTTCACCAAGAGTGATTAAATTCTTGGTTAACTAATCACAATCATTTTTTAATCACCACTTTAATCACTATTAAATTGTCATGCGTTCCACAACAAACATTTTAACTCCGGTTAGATAATCATCAATCTCATCGGGTAAGATCGTATTTTCTTTGAATCCACAGTTCTGGTTGGTTCAAACAACATCTCAATCAGGACAGATCAACTGAAATCATTTTCCCTCAAAATAGTAATCACATGTCGCTTGAACATTGATAGAGAAATATCGTTTTCTATTACGAAATACTTCTGCGTTGTCTACCCCAAAGAATTGTACTTGATTTTACTATGAGTAGTGTATGAGTACAATCCAACACTGAAATAAATTTAGGAAAACGAGCTAGTACATAAAAAAATACTTGTGCTGCACTTATTTCCCTTTTTGTAGATGGGAATTTAAGTCAATTCATGCAATAAGATGCGATCCAGTTGCATAATATCTCACCACAAGTAAAAGTTGTGCCATTGAATAGTGTTGTTTCTAAAAAATTCATTTAATGAACATGTGGCAATTTTACTATTATTCATTTATTATAACTCTCTGTAGTATGTTGCACGTCTATTTCTATTTCCAGCAGTAATGTTTGGACAGTGTTTTTCGATAAGCGAAATAGCGTGAAAAAAACTCAAGGTGTCCATGATTTCAAAATAATTGACTCGCGGATTAAATATTCGGGGTCTTCTAACAACCTGAATGTCACTATCCTCATCAGACGGTGATAAAACGTCGTCATAAAACAAATCGAACATATGTTTACTTAAAATTGTTTGAGGTTATAATACTACACTAATCCTGATTATCGTCAATAACCAGCCATTTTAGGCGATTAAGTTAACCACTGATTAAGTGTCCATAATCGTGGTTAAAATTATGGTGGAACGCAAAGTGTTGATTAAATAGTTTTAATCAATGATTAACATTTTAATCGGAGATGGTGAAACCGGGCCTTACACTTGCATTGACAGTCAGCTCAAATCTAGTGGCTAAATCTCAATATAGAAATATGTGGACCGATCGAATGCAGGAACATTCCTTATGTGTTTTAGCTATGTTAAAGACATGTGTGTAATTTCTTACTTTATTTAAACTATTCTATTAGATGCGATACAGATATTTTTAACCAGTTCTACTTTCAAAAACGCTGGATTTACTAGGTTTAGTATGGCATTTGCATCCTCCTTTGAAAGGTTACAAATGCATTTGTTTCCCTGAACCAGATCATGTCAAAAATGCACATGATTTTTCATTCGTTTGTTGACTTACTCTTACTCTTAACTGAGACAGTCGTACTGTAATTCAACTAGTGGAATAATTATATGATAATAAGTGCTTGTAAATATGTTTTGTAAAAAATTTATTTCAAAAACAGAAATGCGCGATTTGGATGGGATTTAAAATATATACGTGAATGTATCTGAAAATGAAGCACCAAAAAAACCAAAATACGCAAAATTAGGTTGCACCAAAGAATTGCCTTGCACGTGGCTTTTATACATATTAAGCTTTGACTCAATGACTGCTCTACAAGTTTCGATGAATATTCGTGAGTTACACACAGAATAATACTTGAATCTCTTGAAAATACATTTCTGAACATGAGTGAAAGTTTATCAATGTTTAACGAAAGTTTTTTATACAACAATTACTGTGTCGTTAGGTTAAATAAAACATGGATGTGGATTTACATTTTCTATTTGACTGTTTAGCAGAATCCAGTTAATTAAAAAACACATGTTCAAAAGCGATGTTCCGAACTTGAAATGTGTCCTGATAATCGGAACAAAAAGCGGAAAAGTTAATTCGGTATCCGTGTAACCATCAATCTTAACCAGAGTCCATGCCTCGAGCATGCTGTTATGGAACTCGGTCAAGACCGTCAAATGCAAACGATTTTTCTTACAATGCTGAAACTTGGGAATTAGGATACTCAAAAAGTCGTTAAAGATCGCTTTGGATTGGTTTAGGCGAGTGGTTCTTTAATGGAGCAGAATTTAGTTTTCCAAATACTTTTTCCCGGTCACGTTTGCCACAAGCGACAAGGGTGTTTTTGTGTTATTTGCATTGCCTGAATTGGAATCGGCTTTGGTGCTTCCACAGTTTATTTCTGTTGCTAATATTTGGATGTTTGCATTGCATTTAAATTCAACCGATTATTTCAGTCTGACGCGCTCTGATCGAAATGTTACAAATTGGCGTTAAAAAACCGCGTCTGAAGAATATATTTTACATCGATTCAAATGGAATTGCGCTAACTTAGCAAAACAAAACAGACTCGTCTAGAATTTTTTGGGACATTTTGTTGGCAGTCCCGCCACAGTTCTGCCGCGCTGTAGGGGCTCGAAAAGAAGCGAAGCGTAGGACAAAAAGTTGTCACATAGTCGGACGAAATATCTCCACCAAGCAGAAACGTAAAAAGTGAGGAAAATCAAAAAAGTTAGCGTTAGCAGCCATTGCTTGAAATTTAATATTTTTTCGAACTTTTAACCAGTCGTGAAAAATATTTTCTTCCCGCATTCATCTTCAGAGGTGACTTGCTTGAAAAGTTGCACTGGACTGAATATATCAAGCACTTAGAAGGTGCAAGCCACTCCTGCTTGCTAAACATAGGACGAAATAATTTTACATACGTTGATTTGATAGGAATGCACACATTTTGACAAAAGCAATATGGATTTGCTCTGTTTAAATTTCATGTAGTCAAGTCCTACTTCGCAAAATTTGCAACAGAAAACGTTGGGAAGAAAAACGGAAAAGATGGATGTCAATTAAACTTCTTTATTACAATGTTCAAATATTTCACCAAATTATCGTATTATTTCCAGAAGCAAATGTATTCGAATATGATGTTTGGGTCGTAGCATGGAATCAGGAATTATGTATAATAAAGCTATGATTATGATTGATACTAAACGTTTTATACTTAAATTTAAATTATCACAGTATGTAGGTAGGTTTTTATTTGGAAATGGTTAACAAGTATCTATATTTATTGAAATTGCTTAAGAGCAAAGTTAAAATATATCAATTTTCGAATTTTACTATAAAAAAAAGGAAATTGCATAGAAATATGTTATTTAGAAAACTTTGTCAACTAATTATTATTGAATGTTAACTAATTGCTTAGCGCCCTAAGAATATAAATCTGCATTGACGAACAAACCAGTTTTGAGGTCTGGGACCTCGGGCCTCTAATTCTGTTTCTTTGTATCTTCTCCAGTGTTCTGTACGTTTCGTACCGCTTGGCCCCCAAGTTTGTGTGGAAAATATCTGAGAAAAATATACTTGTTAGTTTCGTGAAAATGTGAGCTTGTTATTCGTGTATTGATTAATGTTTTTGTACATCTGGATCTTACCGGGTATTCCTTATCCCAGAATGAGTAATAGCCAACCCAAAATATTGCTTGCAAAATCCCAACTCCCAATATACACCAACCAAAGGCTATAAAAAATTAACTTTTAAATTCTAGTGACAGTTGAATCACAATTGTTGTGCATTTACTGAATGAATTCTACGTCTTACTGATATATCCGTTCAAAATATAACTGTGAGTGATTTATACATTATGATGAAATACAATTTGAGACGTATAAAATTTCAATAATAAAAGTAAAAGCAAAATTTGAAAATGTTAAAAACCGCATATTGTTGACTGCATATTCAAGAGGATTAAACATCGACAGGAATAGCCGAATCATGACCCTTCGGAACAGACAAATAAATGAGAAACAAGAAGATGAATTGAAAAAAATGCATATCAAATTTGGATGTCTTTTACAGCGATTCGTTAGATTATGTTCGATTTTCCGTGGTTGAAATAATATTATTTTTAAAGGTTATCGTATTTTTCTTACTTTTAACGCTTTCTGTCTTATGCCAAACAGTTGATAAAGTCAAATTCATTATTTTATAATATATATGTAAATATATCGTGTTTCCAACGGTTAATGCATTACTCAAAATTCATACAGAAAAATGGAATTATCTTTGTAATTGATAAAAAAATTAACTTCGAGTTGCGGTTTTGCGTAAAAGCCATAAAACATAAATCTGGTAGTTGGCTGGAATACTGAAAAACGCGAAAACGATTTTCTGTCAGCAATATCAAATTCCGTGAATTTCCAATGTTCAAGCGAACGTTCGATTCTCCTCTTACTTTATTCCACTGGAGAGAAAATCTCTAAATCATTGAAATGCTTTGTGTCGTACCTTAAGATGTGAAAGAAAGGAGAAATATTAAAGTTATTTCTACCGCTTTCTCCTGAGCACTTGATACTTTCTAGTCGAAGTTGCAGGCTTTATAGATCGCAGACAATCAGAATCAAAATCAGTCAAAATCGTATCTTATCAGAACACCCCGTAAAGTTATTTACGATTACATTATACGGGGCGAATCCGAAATACTGTCATTTATTAATAGAGTCATATGGGCTTACTGTAGGAGTACCGAGAAAATAAATACAATTTTTCTTTGTCTAGCTGGCAAAAATATTAACAGGCGAAAAACCAATTTCAATTTAAATTTTCAGCTATTATTTTGAAATGTTTAGTAGGAAGTGTTTCGTTTCTGAACAATCAAGCACACACTTGTTAAATTTAAATTATACTTTAAAAAAACTAAATGATAAGAGCGGAAATTTAGTTATGCGCGCCAATTTTCTGTTAGACTGCACGCTAAGTCTAGGGTACTAGAAAAGAGTCTATTATCCATGTAACTTTATCGCGCCGGAAAAATTGTCATTACATTATGAAGTGATTGATGATAGCAGACAATTCAATCTTGAATCTTTTTATCGTATGTCCGGTTTTTCCATAAAAAGAATAGAAGATAGGCGATAAGCAATAGCCGTTGTAGATTTATCAAATAGCAAAAATTAGTTGCATGAACTTTAAAAGGATTGTAATTCTTCAGCTAACAGCAAAAATTATTAGCATTATTTAATATTTCCTTTTCGGAATCATTTTTGCTCTACCTATATGCATATGTTTAAAACTGGACTAGTTGAAAATACCCACCTAAAATTCCATCGGGATACGGTTTGCCATATATTCCATATGTAAGGACAGGTAAAGTAGCCACAAAATAAATAAAAATGGTCACTAAAAGAACGGGCATAATAAGCCCCCAGCACAATCTCCAGTAAATCCCCGGCTTGTGATTTGTCATGTACTCAAGATCCAGGCAGAAGTTTTGCAAACCTAGGTGAAAATTGTAAAATTAATTTGTTGGTTGTGCTGAAATAAGTTAGGCATAATGACGAGCAAATATGTATACAGGGTGGCCCAAAAGTAATTGCACAAAGCAAAATGGCGGATTCCTGGGTTGAAAATATGACGATTTAACACAACTTACTTTAGTCCGAAAGTTGACGGTTGCCGACATACAAGGCGTCAAAGTTACATTTTAATTTCAGTTGTTCGTTATTCTACTTTGAACGGAGCTGCATATTTTAACGAAATTTGGTATACAGGTGTTTTTGAGCATAAGAAATCCAATTCTATCATCAGATTTTGATCAACTTGTAGAATAAACCACTTACGGCGATATCTGGGCAAAACAATTGTTTCAACTTTTTGGTCACCCGGTATTMGTATRACATTCTTTAGRCATRGWT